GATCTTAGGGACCTGGGACTCCTGAAGGCCAGTCTTATCAGTAAAGACTAAGATGAAGACACTTTTAGTACCTCCGTCTTTTCCATGACCACCAGGTCCCCTGCCCCACTCAACAGTGGGTCCTAGTCTTCCTTTTGCAGCTGTAGAAGCCCATCTTGTTGCCCTTCACCTCCCCTTCCAGATCCAACTCCAGATGGATTTCAGTTTTCCTAACCTTATATCTGCACACTTGCACAGTGTCTCTACATCCTGTGTCACCTCACCTGGGCCACAAACCCTGTTTGAGTGTAGTCAGAAGTTCCTTGTCCATCCATGCAGGCTTCCTGCTGCCTTTGCTTGACTACCTGCATGTTGGGATGAACGGTTAGACTGTTTTTGAGCTTGGAGGAGGTGAACCTTGACAAGATCTCCTGGACTCCTCTCTTCAGGACTATATCCCCTAGGATTCTTCCAAGCAGGTCTCTGAAGAGACCCAAGTCTGCTAGCCTGAAGTCCAATTTGTGATCTGTGATATTTACCTTGTTCACTCCTCTCAAGATCCTGACACTATCTCATGGTCACTGCACTGACTCCAACCTTTACATCTCCAACCAGTTCTTCTTTGTTTGAAAGTGTGAGCTCTGGCAGGAGTCCCCATCCTCACCGATTCCTCAATTGCCTATGTCAGAAAGTTGGCACTGATGCACTCCAGAAACCTCCTGAACTGCTTGTGCCCTGCTCTGAGCTCCCTCCAACACATACTGGAGTGGTTAAAGACCTCCATGAGGACCAAGGCCATGGCCATGAAACTTCTTCCATTTACCTGAAAAAGACCTCATCCACTTCTCAATCATTCAGTCTGTAGGAGACACGCACTGCAGTATCACCCGCATTGGTATGCCCCCCAGTCCTGATCCATAAACTATCAACTGTCTTACCACTCATCCCCAGGCAGAGCTCCATGCATTCCCACTGCTCTCTCACATAAAGGACAACACTCTGTCCTTGCCATCCTGTCCTTCCTTCCTAAAGGCCCTGTATGCATTGACTGCAACACTCCATTTGTGTGAGCTATACCACCATGTCTCTGTGATTCCAGTGAGCTTATAGGCCTGTAGCAGCTGCACATAGACCTCTCACTCCTGTTCATTTTCCGTGCTGGCACTTCAGACAGGAATCCAAGCATACTGATTTCCTAGAAAGGGTATAAGGACGTCCCCCATCACGCTGTCCTATAGGCTCTTGCTTACTTATGTGCATACACTCGCAGTGGGATGCCTTCATTCCCGTTTTGTTGGTTTTGGGGTCTCTCTTGTCAACATTACACTTAAGTCTTTGCCTACTAACTTGGTCCATCACTCCCTCACTTGGTTATAGGTCAACTCCACTCTCCATCACTTTAAAGCTTTCTTGACCAGACTGGCCAACCTGTTGATAAAGATACTTGCCCTACTTGGTGGGGTGGATCTTCTATCTTCTAAGGACTGATCCTCAAAGAGGGTGCCACAGTTGTAAAAATCAAATCTCTGTAGTCATGCTTGTTATGCTCGATGTGTCCCCTTACAGTATCACTGGTGCCCACAATAAAGAGCAGCAGTAAGTAATAGTCTGAGGAACAGACAAACCTTGGCAGTCTATCCACAATATCCCTATCTAAGCCCTCGGTGAGAAGCAAACCTCCCTGCACAGCAGGTCAGATTCACAGATGGTGGTCGCCATCCCCTGCTGTAGGAAATTGCCCACTATTATTACTTCCTGCTTCCTT